CGCTCAATAAGTTGTTAGACATTAGGTAAGGAAAGATTTTATAGGAAACCCATATCAGGTAAACATGATGTGGGTCCAAGATTAAATGAAATTTGAAACAGAGGTGGATGAGGTATGTTTAGGAGACATCAGTTATCGTAAAATCCTTACAAAAACATTTAATCTTAATACATTATAGATTTTAATGAGATTTCATGAGCGTCGTTGAATGAATGTAACCTTTGGATTTATTTACAGAACATTTATTTATCTCTCATGCCGCCACCTACGCTGCTCTGTGAACCACGCAAGGGCTATATCGCATTGACGTACACGTGCGTCTTACTAAGTAAGACAATATCTCGGGCACATGCACACGCCGTAACCCTACTTGTGGCAATTACTTACTACAATCACCCGGGTCTCGATATTGAGATTTATTATCGCCAATTGAACAATATGCAATTAAACTCTGTCCTCGTAGTTAGCATGTGACTAACAGTGATGGAAAATTTATCAGTTGACTTTCCAATTGCAATGTTAACTCATTTAATTCTTCTTAACACATCAATAGGCATGATGACGGGGTAAAGTGAACGAAATTCTATTTAGTCCGCCTGTTAGATGATCAAAAAATAATGGACACGTATTTTTTCTTTGGGCAACCAAACAAAAAATGACGAAGATAAAGCGCGTCAAAGTTTGGGAGTAGGGGGGCTTGTGACGTCACTTTTAAGTGAACATTGTACCAAAACGTGACGTCATGCGACTTTTCAAATCAATATATCCCTGCAATGTTTATATTATGTGAAAAAAGAAAAAATACGTGTCCAATACTTTTTGATAATCTACCGGATAAACGAAGAAAAAAAAATTAGTCATCATCCCTATTCATTGGTTTTTAAGTCTTACAAATGCTGTTAGTGATGTGAAATCTGACATGATTCTCTAAACTTAAAACTAAATTTAACATCAGGCTCTCCTTTTCATTCTGTATAGAGAATGACAAAGATATGTTCTGTTCTCAAATTAAAGTTTAGGTTTAGATAATCATGCCAGAATCGCCACCATTGTCTCAGTATGGACATTTTGATTTTGTTGTCATATTCGTTGCCTACGTGGTGTTCTGTTTTCTTTTCTTTCAAAAAAGCGATCGATGTCTAGAAATATTACCATGCTGGCACCTAAACAAAAACATTAAAATAAGACATAGGTACCTAATAGCTACAGAAAATAACCGCCCGGTTATATAAATATTAGTGGAAGTCTAATTCCAGTCACAATACCCTATTGTTTTTTTTTGTTTTTACACATTCGTACTTATCTAATACTATGCAAAGTTCGATATAGCTGAAAGAGGCTGATGGGACAAGATGTAGAGTTCCGTTTCATCTCATTCGCGTTCACCAAATATCATACTTAGTATCCGTAGTTCCTGGTGTTCCATAATTACAGTAAGCTGCGTTTTCAGATAACAGTCTGTAGCAGTACCAAGAATTTGAAACTATAAGTTAATACATACTCGATACCATGTTGGACAGACCAGTATCTCTAGCACGAACCATTATCGAATTCGAATAGTTTGCGAGCGCGAAATGTCAATGTAAAATTATGTATGAAAACTTGAACAGCAGCGCCACAAAGTATGTAACGAGAACTAAAAACAATAAATAAAACCGACTTCGAAATCGAAAATGGAACTAAAAAGTAAAAAATAATATCTGGTTTATGATATGGAAGTCGGGCAGGTCAAGATTGAAAGACGTATTATTACCGATCAGAAACGAAAATCTATTTAATGTTTCAATCTTGAACCAGATATTATGTTTTACTTTTTAGTTCCATTTTCGATTTTGAAGTCGGTTTTACTTTTTGTTTAAACTTTTTTTATTTCATCCATTTTAGTGAAAATTACAACGTCCAAGTAAACAATAACACAATTGGTGGAGCAACCGGTGAACATGCATAAAAACATCGTGCGTGCCTTTGAAATTTGAAGGTTTCCCTCGATTTCCCCGGATTCTACCATCAGATCCTGACTTGGTTCCAATGGGACCACCTCGGAAGTGCACTCTTTAGTATTTTGGAAATCGGTCCACAATTGACGGAGAAATCGGTGAACATACATAAAAAAATATATATGTATATCTACAGTACGAACACAGAACCTCCTCCTTTTTTGAAGTCGGTTAAAAATCAGTACACATTTGACAATGAAACTTTGGAATCGCGAACGTTACGAATTCGATATTTGTTCGTGCTAAGGGTACTGCACTTTGTAAAATTCGATCAAAGAAGATAAATCAAAATGTTTTTTTTTGTCAGTGGCTGTTTACTTTTTACACAGAACAAAATGTCTTACAAAAATGAAAGCAAAAAGACTTAAGTGGCAGAGACTTTGAAGTCACGATGCAAAGTTGAAACTATGTTGTCCCGATTCGAAAATGGGGCGTTTGCCGCCTGCCGTTCGACGGCGCCAGAGACCATACAGCGGTGGCGTAAACGCAAAAAGGCCATTATGTGCGTAATCGGCCCGGAGTTAGTAAACAAACTGCATTGCATGGGTTCCTTCTAGGGTTGCCAGATGCTGCCTTACCCCCCCCCCCCCCCCCCTTCGCAGGTAGTTGTGGGTATTAGTAATATTGTGGAAAAAAACTGGTGTTTGGGTATTCCGGGACATTAAGGTCTAATGACTGGACACGGGACAAGACGTAAAATTCCCTGGACAATCCCGGATTTCCCGGCGATCTGACAACCCTAGTTCCTTCACTGCTGTCGCGCGAACATTGACAGCGCCCCCCCCTGCCATGAACGGTTAACTTACAGCGGTCTTGGTCTGACACTGCCTGTTTTGAATTTTCTGCGAGTCTTAAGTTTTCTATACTTGCTACAATGTTGACAAATGAACATGCGGTTCGTCTAGGGTTGCCATTCGTCCGGATTTCGTCGGTTTTTTTTAATTTTTTTATGTCTACGTAGGCATATGACTCTACCCCATCTGATGTTGTGGTAATAAAGTCCAAACGCGAAGATAGCTGGTACGGCAGTTATAAACTGCTACACCAATCATCCTCACCTTGCCAGCCTGCAAAAATGCTTCTTCACGCCTCTCTTAAAAGACCCCAGATTGTAGGAAGGAGGTAACACGCATGCACGAGCAAAAAATTCCTAAAAAGTGTCCTATACTGAATTATCTGGACATAAACTTTGAACCAAAATACCCTTTGATCGAAGTTTTAAATACATAATGTGACTTGGTATCATTTAGCATTTATATTATTTCATCATCATCAGCCGAAAGACGTCCACTGTTGGACATAGGCCAACAGTGGACAGTTTATATTATTTAACTGATCAAATCTCTTGTAACTGGTTCTGCACTAAAGGAGAATAAAATCATAATTTGTAACCAACGTTATTTGTAACATAGTGGCAGTTACAATGTTCGGTGTTATTTAAGCGGTTCGCGAACCTACAAAATTGTGTTAACTGCTCGGTTACAAGTTACAATGTGCGAGATGAGATTTCTTCCGCGCCGCTTAAATATACAAAGTCAGCTTTACTGCCGAAATAATTGGCAGTTTCCCCTTATTTGCATGTAAAATACTTGGGGTGGGCGGAAAGGAAATATTCATATGTACTAAAAACTCTTTTAAGTTTCCACTCAATTAAGTAGGTAGACTATCTATACTATTTTTTGTGGAAAATCGCCCTGTCTGTTATGTCAATCAAGACCAGACCAGGCCAGACCAGACCAGACCAAAAAGAGGTCCAATAGGCACATATAAAACTTTTAAGAAGGTCCAATGGGCACCAAAAAAGAGGTCGAATGGGCACATTGAATATAAAACTTTCTAAGAAGGTCTAATGGACACCAAAAAAGAGGTCCAATGGGCACTTTTTGCTTTTGGGGCGAATCTTGAGGGTCCAACGGGTACTAGACCAACGTAATGCCGGCGGTACTTCATATGTCTATGTTTGTATTTGCTATTTGTAATTTTGACAACATGATGGCCTTATTAGAGAATAAGGAATGAAAAGGGAGCTTCTTGTCTAGTTTACAAGTAGCAAATACGAATACAGCAGTACAACAACGTAGTAATGGATAAGCATATTCTGGACATTCTGGTTAAACGTATTGATTTAGCTGTATTAGCTTAGCTTTAATAATGGTCTTCTATTGGCCGAAATTCGACTTTCTTTTGGTAATGTTTATGTGAATAATTATAAGTTATCAACGGATTATTATTTCAAAATATTAGCTTTTATTATGCAAAAAACTTACTCCTCCGAGTTTTTAACGAAAGTTAAGTTTTAATTTTATTATTAATATACTAATATTATTTATTACCTTTATCTAAGCTATTGTAGGTAGGGTTGCCACCTTTTTTTGGTCCAAATAAAGTACATTGGATATTAAATTCAGAAAAAAAGTACATTGTGTCCAAAATAAAGTAATTTTTATTCCTCTTTATTATTAAGCTATTTTACGTTGCTACTAGAAACTTTTAATAAATAATTTGTGGCTACTAAAAATTTGTAGTTCTTTTCCACAGTGGGAAAGGTCATATAACTTGGCCATATAGCCACGAAAATGTTGCAGGAATTAGCTAAGGGCGACATATTCATACTGCCTGTCCGTTTTACGCAAAAATTCTTCCTATCAACCTCTTTTTGTATATTTTATGTAAAATGAATCCCTGAGTAATTAAATCACATTAAATAAAGTATTTCCGAGTACTTTATGGTTGGCATAAATTATAGAGTACAATTACCCGAAATAACGTACAATACTTTATAATAAAGTACGGGTGGCAACCCTTATTGTAGGCGATGGGTAACCTGTCATTTTTGTCTACAGCCACATGCCACTGCCACTGCCCACATTAATATTTGGCGCCGTTCAGTTATGTCTTGGGAGTATTGAAAACAATGATACACTCTCAACTTCCCGCGACTGTTTCACATATAATATTTGTTTTGGTACACCTATTCTAAATAAAGCGTTTGTATTGTTCTAGATGCTGCAGGAGAAGAGGTTGTGTATCCTGGGCGCAGAGCTGTCACAGTGGGAGACCTTTGAAAGGCTGTTGCGGTTCACTGGCTCACAGCTCAGACTCCTCAGGTGCTTCCAGGTAAACCATGTTTTATTAGATTTCTTTATTGCAAAAAATATGGTACTATAAGATGACATGTATACAAACTAGAGTTGGGCCGACTATAGTATTTGCCGACTAACCGACTTATCGGTTTTCGAATTGCCGACTAGTCGGCCGACTATTCTGCAATGCCGATCATTATAATACCTATCATAGGAAGGTATTCGGAATATTTCGTCACTACTCGGCTTTGCTCGCGCACGACACGAGTCTCCCAAATCAAGCCGAAATATACACGATGCAATATCACAATTTGCCTCTAAGGAAAAATAAATACATGTGGACTTCTTTAGGACTCGCTAGCACTTAAGATTTTACTCAATTAATACATACTTACTTCCCATTGGTCTTTTGTTATGTGCGATATTCATTTGTTAAGTGATCTGAATTAGTGACAGATTCCTAAGTTCCTAATTCTTATTATGTTTCCTTTTTTTTAATACTTTAAGACTGTAGGTAACTTTAAATACATACTCTAGCTTCTGTTTAAATATTCAAAACAAGTATAAGTTTTCTGTTTTATTTCATAGATATGTGCCGATTATAATCGGCATATTATGCCGAATAGTCGCCGACTAATCGCCGACTATAAACGATCCCGAATAGTCGTCTTTCCCGACTAGTCGGCGGCTAGTCGGCCCATCTCTAATACAAACCAGATTTTACATATTTTTTGTTTTTTAACATCTTTACTTAACAAACTCGTCCGCAGCTCGTGGTCGCGTTGACTTTAGCGGCAGCCATAGTTGCTCAATGTGCAGTTGCGCTTCAGGCAGCAAATTGATATCACCCCAGCCACGGTAATGTTACCGTGTCCCAGCTGAATTCTACTTCACTAAAATTTTGAGCCTTCATACATCAGCAAGGCGGGTAAAGTTTCTTTGATAAATAAAGGTACGGCGTCTGACTTCACCCCACCCTTGTTAAATGTGATTGAAGTAAAGTTACGTAGATAAAAAAAACGTACCATCTGTCCTTGTGGGTGTTTTGTATATTTTTCAGTCTTTTCTAAGCAAAGACTTATTATGTGTCCGTCTTTTTAACCGACTTCAAAAAGGGGGATGTTTTCAATTCGGTCGGTGTGCTTTTTTTCTTATGTATGTACACTGATTACCTGATCATCTGATATATCTGATCTTTTTATTATTATTTATTTCTTTTTTGTTCGATGCGGAACAGTTGCCATTTGATCCCACAAAAATTTAATCTAGTTTGGTCCAGTAGTTTTTATTTTATAAGCATTTTTGTTACTTAGACAATGTCATTTTCACGATATTTTGTTCATTTAAACACCGATTGCTTATTTGGTCGATGGGGAGATACTTGCCGTTTGATTCCATGAAAAAAATATAGTTTTTATTTTAAGAGCATTTTTGTTTATTGTTTAACTACTTGGATGATGTAATTTTCACTAAAATAGATGATACATTTTTAAAAAAACACGACGGATAGCACACCGGGACTGCTGGCAGAAGTGAAAACTTGAATATTAACGTTGTGCATTTTTGATATTTTGGAATGGTTAAGGAATAATGTTATCACCTCTTTTACGTCATGCTACCGTTGTGTTGACGCTCTGCTAATAGTTTTTAATGTATTTTGATTAAGTTTAGTTTTGATTTTGTTAGAAATATGCATTATTATAATAATTCAAATTGATAATATGTCTTAGTTGCTGTGCCCTACTGGGTCTATAGCTGTACCCTTAGTACGAGTTTTACAATTACGAAAACTATGATAGTTTTCGTGAGGTAGCACTCGTACTAAGGGTACTGATTTTATTTTATTGTTTTCGTTTCAATACAAATAAACAGTGTTTAAATTCTATCATTAAATCATTTGCGTCTTCTTAAATTTTAAGTATATTTGGTTACTACATAATTTACAATTACGAAAACTATGATAGTTTTCGTGAGCTCGAACTTGTACTAAGGGTAAAGATCTGATCTGTGCATATTTTAATCACTTGTTGTAACTCCATGGATTGCAATAAATGACGTATGAGTTATAAAGTAAGGGATATATTATATGGCACGCAGGATTAATTAATGTACCACGTGATATCAATTACTTCGTTCCATTGTATATTTGATTGATTAGTTACGTTAAATCACCGCTCGACGTTACATAACCACTTAATCACATAAAACAATGCGTCTACGTTCATGTAAACCTCTCCAACATAGTCGTAAATTTTATACGTCAGACTTCAAAATAACTCTTCAATTCAATAGCCGTACATTTAATGTATGTTAATTAACCTCGTCAGCGTTTACGGTTACCCTCATTGACACCGGGTGTTGCTTCTTGTCTATATTAACATGATATTTAGTTTTATTACCTACCTACTGCTTACTGTTTTTTTTTCCTAAAGGAATATTTACTTATTTCCGGCTTACTTGAACTTTGGTTTTTGTCTGAGGAACTATTATGTTAAACATGTGGCGGCGACATCTACATGCCACACATATACATATAATAACATAGAGGAAATAGTCACTCGCCTCCATAAGAGATGGCGCTACCGGCGCTGCGTTCACAACGTAAGGAAGCCTACATCGCGCAAGTGAAATTCGGTAGCCAACAGTTCATATATACGATGCCCGACCAACATCAGTCGGGCCGCGGCCCCCGAGCTAACATCACCCAGCTCGGAGGAAGATCTTCCCCATTGGCCTTCCTACACTGGGGGGTCACCACAAACATAACAAAATATTGCATCTAAATACTACTATTAGTGAAACTGCTTGGAGAGGGGATGTGGTCGCGGTAAAAAACGTGCGAGTGACACCTTTGAAGTCGTCTATGCTATATACCATAATACGCGTTTACCGCTATTCTCAAAATAAAATAGTAGAAGTCAATATATCTTAACGGTTCTAGTATTAGCTGTCACGCTTATAATAGCAAGCAGGGGATTAGATGGGCCCTATAGTATTTCTAATCTTATACACTAACCTAAAATTACCTAAAGGTCAAAATTAAGGGTGCAATATAAGCTTGGGTGCCCTATAAAAGTATCGCGAGGGGTGTTGACGCACTGAAGTGTAGATAAACTGTTGGTTATATATATAACTGCTAACAAGAAGCATTATAGAACTACTACTATAAGTACGCCAATAATAGTGATAAATTAACCTAAACATGCTGAAAACTTTTTGAAGTTATTACTCGGTTTTGTAAGGATTTATAAATTCACTTCACAGAACAACAAATTATAAGTAAAATGGAGCCGTTTGACATTGGTATAAACCAAGATTGTTATAATATTATCACGATTATAAAGGTCTAATATAATATATTTAGTATACAAAACTATATCAGTGGTGTCCTATACACCGACGTTTTTTAGTCTTACAAATGCTGTTAATGATGTGAAATCTGACATGATTCTCTAAACTTAAAACTAAACATCAGGCTCTCCTTTTCATTCCGTATAGAGAATGACAAAGATATACTGTTCTCAAATTAAAGTTTAGGTTTAGATAATCATGCCAGAATCGACACCATTGTCTTAGTATTGACATTTTGTTTTGTTGTCATATTCGTTGCCGACGTGGTGTTCTGTTTTCTTTTCTTTCAAAAAAGCGATCGATGTCTAGAAATATTACCATGCTGGCACCTAAACAAAAACACTAAAATAAGATATAGGTACCTAATAGCTGCAGAAAATAACCGCCCGGTTATATAAATATTAGTGGAAGTCTAATTCCAAAATAAAATGGCCAAGCAATGGTTCTGATATTTACTATTATAAAACAAAGTACGCCTAAAGTGGTTAGTAAAAGTATTTGTGAGAAAACAACTTTGTCAAAATGGCGACTTTTCGATGTCTGTCTTACTGAAACCAACATTATTTTAAAATTCAACTTAATGAAAATGTATATTTCAAGGTGCGCGTAATAATTTTGATAAAAATCATATAGCTCCATAAACACATCACTTCACCGAAAATATGCGTGCGCCATGTAAATTAAAATACATTATACAGCTTGACTTATTGTTAATTAACACTACTCATAATTGATATTCTTGATAATATTTAAATAATATATTGATGAATAAATTACCTTTGTCAATATTATATTTTGCAAATTTGCGCAGCAATATTAAATAACAAAAGTGCTTGTATGAGATTCACTATGTGCGTTATTGTCATATTTGGTTTCATTAAACGCTGACACTTAGCTTCGCGGGAGCAAATAGTTCTACGTGGTCTAACTATACGGTCATTTTTGACTTGTTTTTTCCATTAAGCACTGATAGTTACCTTCGCGGTCGCAAATAGTTTCACTCAGTCCACCTATAAGGTCGTTATTGGTCAAAGTGGTGTTCACTAAGTCTATTATAGATATTTAATTAGGTAAAATACGCCTATAAATTGGGCGTGGTTCCGTGGTTACAATTGCTTATTATTCCGTTATAGTCCTAATGAAATGGTGGTTCCAGGATAGTTACTATACCACATTTTAGTGCTTGGGGAGGCGGGCAATGTATTTTTCCACACGAACGTTCTCGACTGATTCGTCCTTGGTTCTAAAGAAATGATTATCGTACATAAAAAAAAATGGATGCGTGTAACTTATGTACGCGCGTGAGAAGTTATACTTCTTTAGCATCATTAAAAATATTTTTAATTAATATTTACAATAAAATAATAAAAGGACTGGAAAAGGATAGTTAACACAGTCATTTAAGTTCAGTTTTAATTTGAAAAATTTAATAAATATTCAAAATATTCAATTAAAATCACTACTGAATTTAAGTTATTAGTCCATATGTAATTAGCACTTGTAAGTAACTAAAACACGTTGTGTCTATATAGAAACTAGAAACATGTGGATAAATATTATAAATATGAAAACAGTGATCAGAGGCGACGAGCGTGCCAACATTGTTTTTGACAACGCGATCATCTTATGGAGCTCCGTGGATCGTTCAAAGTACATTTCGAACAGATGTCTAATAATGGTGGA